AGAAGCTACGGCGAGAGGTAGGAGTGGCTAGATAGGGAGGAGGAGAGACTAGAGAGAGGGGGAGGAGAGACAAGAGAGAGAGAGAGAGAGGAGTAGATTCTAGAGAGATAGAAGAGAGACAGAGGAGGACAGACTAGAGAGAGGAGGAGTAGAGATTAGAGAGAGAGGAGGAGAGACTAGAGAGAGGTAGGAGAGGCTAGAGAGAGCGAGGCAGAAGATACTAGAGAGGAGGAGGAGAGAGTAGAGAGAGGAAGGAGAATCTACGGAGAGAGCATTGGAGACTAGATAAAAGAAGAGTGACAGAGGAGGAGAGAGTAGAGAGAGGTAGGAGAGGCTAGAGAGAGCGAGGAATGAGATACTAGAGCCAGGAGGAGGAGAGAGTAGAGAGAGGAAGGAGAAGCTACTGAGAGAGAGGATTAGAGACTAGTGAGAAGAAGAGCGAGGAGGAGACACCAGAGAGGAGAAGAGATGAGAGAGAGAGGAGGAGGAGGAGAGGGTAGAGAGAGAGTATGAGAGACTAGCGAGAGGAAGGAGGGACTAGAAAGAGGAAGAGAGACTAGAGAGGGTGAGGAGGAGAGACTAGAGAGAGGAAGCAGAGACTAGAGGGGCGGGGTAGAGACTAGAGGGATAGAAGAGAGACAGAGGAGGAGAGACTAGAGAGAGCGAGGAAGGAGATACTAGAGAGAGGAGGAGGAGAGAGTAGAGAGAGGACGGAGAAGCTACTGAGAGAGGATTAGAGACTAGAGAAAAGAATAGAAACAGGAGGAGAGAGTAGAGAGGGAGAGGAGGAGAGACTAGAGAGAGGAGAAGGAGAGATTAGAGAGAGAGGAGGAGACACTAGAGAGGAGGAGAAACGTGAGAGTGTTGGAGGAGGGGCTAGAGAGAGTGTAGGAGAGACTAGGGAGACGAAGGAGGGACTAGAGAGAGGAAGGAGAAGCTACCAAGAGAGGAAGAAAGACTAGAGAGAGAGAGGAGTAGAGACTAGAGTGATAGAAGAAGAGATACAGAGTACGAGAGACTAGAGTGGGAGAGCAGGAGAGACTAGAGAGATGAAGGAGAGACTAGAGAGAGTAGGAGGAGAAATTAGAGAGGAGGATAGACTAGAGAGAGGTACGAGAGGCTAGAGATAGCGAGGAAGGAGATACTAGAAAGTGGAGGCGGAGAGTCCTGAGAGGGGAGGAGAGGCTAGAGAGAGAGGAGTAGGGACTAGAGAGGTAGAAGAAGAGAGACTGGAGGAGAGGCTAGAGAGAGGAAAAGGAGAGACTAGAGATAGAGGAGGAGAGGCTAATAAGAGACAGAGGAAGGTGAGACTAGAGAGATAGAGGAAAAGAGACTAGAGAGGAGGAGATACGGAGGATGAGAGACGAGAGGGGAGGAGGATAGACTAGAGAGAGAAGGAGAAGAGGCTAGAGAGAGGAAGGTGAGACTAGAGAGAGTAGTAGAGACTAAAGAGGCGGAAGAGATGAGAGAGAGAGAGAGAGAGAGAGAGAGAGAGAGAGAGAGAGAGAGAAGGTGGAGAGGCTAAAGAGAGAGGGATAGAGGAGATGTAGAGGAGGATAGACGAGAGCGAGAAGGAGAGGCTAGAGAGAGGAAGGAGTTGCTAGAGAGACTGGAGAAGAGAGACAGAGGAGGAGAGACTAGTGAGAGTAGTAGGATTGTCTAGAGAGAGAGGAGGAGTGACTAGAGAGAAGAGAGACAGAGGAGGAGAGATTTGAGAGAGAGAACGAGAGAATAGAAAGAAGAGAGACTACAGAGTGGAAGAGGAAAGACTAGAGAGAGGTAGCAAAGGCTAGAGAGAGCGAGGAAGGAGATACTAGAGAGAGGAGGAGGAGAGGCTTGATAGGGGAGGAGACCCTAGAGAGAGAGGAGTAGATACTAGAGAGATAGAAGATTAGAGACTGAGGAGGAGAGACTAGATAGAGAGGAGGAGAGACTAGAGAGAGTAGGAGAAACTAGAGAGAAGGAGAGACTAGAGAGAGCTAGGAAGGAGATACTAGAGAGAGGAGGAGGAAAGACTAGAGAGAGGAAGGAGAGACTAGAGAGAGAGGAAGGAGAAGCTACGGAGAGAGGAAGGAAAGAGTAGAGAGAGAGGGGAGTAGAGACTAGAGCAGGGGTGGGCAAACTTTTTGACTTGAAGGCCACAATGGGTTCTTAAACTGGACCGGAGGGCCGGAACAAAAGCATGGATGGAGTGTTTGTGTGAACTAATATAAATTCAAAGGAAACATCATTACTTCTAAGGGTATGGTCTTTTTTTTTTTTTTTTTTTTTTTTTTTTTTTTTTTTTTTTTTTTTTTTCTTTAGTTTTATTCATTTCAAATGGCCGTAGTTTCCCCATGGCTGGACTAGAGAGATTGAAGAAGATACAGAGTTGGAGAGACTAGAGAGAGAGGAGGAGAGAGTAGAGGGGAGGAGAGTCGAGAGAGGAGGTCAGGCTAGAGAGAGAGAGGAAGGAGAAGGTACAGAGAGAGGAAGGCGAGAATAGAGAGAGGGGCGGAGGAGAAGCTAGAGAGAGAGGAGGAGCGACTAGAGAGAGGAAGGAGAAACTAGGGATAGAGAAGGAGCAAGTAGAAAGACAGAGGAGGAGAGACTAGAGAGAGAGAGGAGGATTGACCAGATAGACAGGAGGAGAGACTAGGGAGATAGAGGAGGAAAGGCTTGAGAGACAGAAGGTGAGACTAGAGAGACTGGAGGAGGAAAGGCTAGAGAGACAGAGGAGGAGAGACTAGAGAGACTTGAGGAGAGACTAGAGAGACAGAAGAAGAGAGTCAGGAGGAGAGACTAGAGTGATACAGAGGAAGGAGAGACTTGAGAGAGTGGAGGAGATGCTAGAGAGAGAGAAAGGAGAGACTAGAGCAGTGATGGCAAACCTATGACATGTGTGTCAGAGTTGACAGACGAACTCATTTTTTTGGTAGATTTTTCTTTGTTAAATGGCATTTAAATATATAAAATAAATATCAAAAATATGTTTTTGTTTTACTATGGTTGCAAATATCAAAAAATTTTTCTATATGACTCAGCACCAGAGTTAAGTCAGGGTTTTTCAAAATGCTGACACGCCGAGCTCAAAAGTTTCGCCATCACTGGACTAGAGAGAGAGAGGAAGGAGAGACTACAGACAGAGGAGGAGAGGCTAAAGAGAGAGGAGGAAAGACTAGAGACAGAGGAGGAGATACTAGTGAAAGAGAAAGGAGAGACTAGAGAGATAGTATGAAAGACTAGAGAGACAGAGGAGGAGAGACTAGAACAGTGATGGCGAACCTTTTGAACTTGGCATGTCAGCGTTTTGAAAAACCCTAAGTTACCTCTGGTGCCGTGTCACATTTAAAAATTTTTTGATATTTTCAACCATAGTAAAACCAAGACTTGTATTTTTGATATTTATTTTATATATTTAAATGCCATTTAACAGAGAAAAATCAACCAAAAAATGTCATACGTTTGCCATTACTCCTAGAGAGAGGAAGGAGAGGCTGGAGAGAGAGAGAGAGGAAGGAGAGACTAGAAAGACAGAGGAGTAGAGGGTAGAGGGAGAGGAAGGAGATACTAGAGAGAGGAGGAGGAGGGACTAGAGAGAGGAGAGGAGAGGCTAGAAAGAGGCATGAGAGAGAGGAGTAGAGAGAGATGAGAGAGAGACAGACTGCAGAGAGTAAAGTCGGTGAAAAGAGAGATTGACAGGGAGGACTGAGTAGACTGGGAGGATGGAGAAAAGCTGGTGGAGTTGGAGGGATTGTAGAGAGAGAAAGGGTGGTGTATGGGGAGGTGTTGAGAACAGTGATAGAGAGCAGATTGGGGAAATTAAGGACAGAGAGATGGCTAGACAGAGGGATAGAGGAGAGTGAGACTACCCTAAAGAGTAGTGAGGAGTGAGCAGGCGCAAGGGAGCAGGGCTAAAGAAGGACCAAGAGTGAGTAGTGGGAGGAAGGACGAGTGTGCCAAGGAGGCGTTCGAGAGGAGTGATGGTACTTGCCGAAGCTTCCTGTTGTTCTCCCAGGTGCCACTCTGGCATCTCCTGAGTGCTGTAGCCTCGGTGTTTCTGGGAACCCCGTCCTTTGGGTTTCTAGGCAGCCTTTATTACATAATGGTGATTGGTAACCTCATTTACCATGGCGTTTGGCACCCTCCAAACCCTCTCCTCCACCAGAGGTCAGCGTGGGCTGGAAGTTCCACCCTCTAATCACATGGTCAGGTCTGATGGTGACCCGCCCTTGTCCTTATGCCATTTCCGGAAGTCACCTCACTAATACACCAAACCTTTATCAGTCTCAATTCTTAGGTTAATCTAGGACAGTGATGGCGAACCTATGACAACGCGTGTCAGAGGTGACATGCGAACTCATTTTTTTGGTTGATTTTTCTTTGTTAAATGGCATTTAAATATATAAGATAAATATCAAAAATATACACCTTTGTTTTACTATGGTTGCAAATATCAAAAAATTTCTATATGTGACATGGCACCAGAGTTAAGTTAGGGTTTTTCAAAATGCTGACACGCCGAGTTCAAAAGGTTTGCCATTACTGATCTAGGGGCTGGGAGAGCTGTGAGCCAGGAACTGTGGACAAAGACCAGTTGTATTTCTTATAGATAGTATCACAGAAAATCTAATCTACTGTTTAATATTGTCTAGTTTGATACCATAAGAACAGTGCCTGTGTGAGCACCACCCTGCACTGGTGCCCGTCACTGCTGCGCACTGATGGTTAGAGAATGCTAGGGGTTTCATCATCATAGGTGCCTGTGCCTAAAACAGTGCCAGAGATAGGGGACTGAGTGCTCAAACCTCTATAAACACATTTTCTCACAAAAGGTAGTGAAGATGCTGGGTTGGTGTCGTGTAAATTTCCCTGGCGAATGACCCTTACAGCAGTGTGGTAAGAATAACTTTCCACATGTCCTTTCTGTATCACCAAACGCTTGCCATTCCAGAATAAATAGCAATATGCCATTTCAGGGGTCAGTCTCATTCACGGATGTGACTGTGGACTTCACCCAGGAGGAGTGGGAGCAGCTGGACCCATCGCAGAGGATCCTGTACATGGATGTGATGCTGGAGAACTACAGCAACCTACTGTCAGTGGGTAAGGACAGCTTCCAGGCGTCACTGTTTACCTAGGGGCACTTATGTTCTTTCTCAGTTACCAAAGTATGAGCTTCTAAATCACTAAGTGGTTTGGCCTCAAGCTTCACATGTTACGCTGAGAGTGACTACTGAAGTTCTAAAATCCAAGCAGTTAGGAGCTGCGATCAAACCAGATGTGATTTTCAAGGTGGAGCAGCCGGAGCTGTGGCTAGCAAAGTTAGAACTGCAGTTGAGAACTCTCTAGCGAAGCTGTGGAAGGAGGGAAGGAGAGTCAGAAGCCACTAGAAGTAATATCCCAAGGATTATGAATGAGTTGGTACCTTTGAAATATTGTTAAGACTTTTTTCCCCAAAAATCCCTAAACCCTTAGAGACGGCTGCAAACAGATGACCTATCTGCCCCAGATGTCTGAGTGTTGTATATTTTAGCTCAGGGCCATTGGCATAGTGGCCTCAGGGGAAATAGATTTTTCAGTGCAGGAGTGACATCCTTGTCCTGGACACAGATGGCAGCCGCAGCACAAGCGCCAGGAATGACCAGTAATGCACAGAGGAAAGTGAAGGTTATGCAAGACCTAGGTGGAGGCTGAGTAATCTGATCCTTAAGATCCTGTCAAATAAAAGTAGGGACAAGACTAGTTTGGGGAAGAAATTAAGCATATTAAAAGGAGAGAGAAAAATAAGATATAATAATGAAAATACATTCTCCAACAGCTTCAATAGAAAAAAAGCAATGATCCCTAGCTGGTTTGGCTCAGTGCATAGAGCGTCAGCCTGTGGACTGAAGGGTCCCAGGTTTGATTCTGGTCGCAGGCTCCTGGCCCTGGTTGGAGGCATGCAGGACGCAACCAATTGATACGTCTCTTTCACATCAGTGTTGCGCTCTGTCTCTCCCTCTTCCTTCCACCCTCCCTAAAAATCAATGGAAAACATATCCTCAGGTGAGGATTACATTAAATTTTAAAAAAGAAAAACGGCTGAAACCAGTTTGGCTCAGTAGATAGAGCCTTGGCCTGCGGACTGAAAGGTCCCGGGTTCGATACCGGTCAAGGGCATGTACCTGGGTTGCGAGCACATCCCTAGTAGGAGATGTGCAGGAGGCAGCTGATTGATGTTTCTCTCTCATCGATGTTTCTAACTCTCTATCTCTCTTCCTTCCTCTCTGTAAAAAATCAATAAAATATATTTTAAAAAAAGAAAAGGAAAGAAAAATGTGATGAAAGCAATAGTAGTATTGAATCTATCAAAAGGCTCTTGGGTCCTTGGACCAATTTTATATTTCCTACAAAATATGAGTTTCTGAACCTTTTCATTCACTTGCAAAGTCTTACTTTAAAGCAGCGATTTTCAACCTTTTCATCTCATGGCACATAAATTAATTTAGAAAATTCTGCAGCACACCAAAAATACTTTTTGCCAAACTGACAAGAAAAGGGGGGCATAATTTTGGTTCATTCACACCAGACAGCTATTGTTGTGTTGGCTGTTGTCATTTTTAAAGTTGACACTCTACGGGAAAAGTGGTCAGTGCCCCTGACTAGGCAGTTTGCATGTTTTAAAGTTCTTGTGGCACATCGTGTGATGCAGCTCAGGGTGGGCGTCGCTGCCTTAGAGACGGGAGCTCCTCAGTAGGATTGTTTCTGCAAAACAATAATGCTGCCCGTGGGAAGGGAGAAGGCGGGGAGAGAGCCTGGACGCATGTAGGCGAGGTCTTGGTCCAGCCACAGTGACACAGCGTCGGAGTGTGGGTTGCTAAACTCAGGTCTGCCTGTGTCCTTTCCTTTACCACCTTCATCTACTTGCTTGCCTCTGTGCTAGCTGTGCAGTGTCCCTGAGGACAAGGTCCCCTTCATCTCTGCAGTGCCAGCCTTCCCACATGTGTTTCCTGTTGCTGCGTTTTTATTTCTCTTTACCCCTCTGTGGGGTCGCTGTGTGATCTGGCAATGCTACTTGTGTTCACTGTCGGTTCCCACTTCTTTTTTTTGCCACAGGCTCTTTTTTCTCCTTGTCCTTTCAGAGTTTAAGAGGGAGGACAGATTTGCACTGGGGACTACTTAATTCTGGAAGACTGGGTCCCAAACTAAAAAGGCAGCTCTAGGATGGGACATTTGGGGGCCTTCTGTAACATAACAGCGAGAGGCCTGACCGAGTGTCCTTCCTGTGCTCTTTCTAGAGGTGTGGAAGGCTGACGACCAGGTGCAGCGGGAGCACAGTGACCCCGAGGAGCAGGCGCGGCCATTCATAATCTGCAAGAACCAAACCCCCATTGAGGAAAGAAGTGATCTCTTTGAAAAATCATTCAATCTGAGCACAGACTTTGTTTCTTTAAGACAAGTGCCCTATAAATATGACTTGTATGAAAAAACTTTGAAATACAGTTCAGACTTACTTAACAGTGACAGCTATATAAGGAAGCAAGCTGATGAGTATAACGGATTTGGAAAAGCACTTCTCTATCTAAAGCAAGAGAAAACCCATCCTGAAATGGAATACGCAGAATATAACAAAATTGGGAAAGCCTTCAGCCATAAAGAAGCCATTTTTAAACATCAGAAAATTAGAAATTTGGTGCAGCCCTTCATTTGTAATTACTGTGACAAGGCTTTTTCCTTTAAGTCACTCCTCATCAGTCATAAGAGAATACATACTGGAGAAAAGCCGTACGAGTGTAATGTCTGTAAGAAAACCTTCTCCCATAAGGCAAACCTCATTAAGCATCAGAGAATTCATACTGGGGAGAAACCCTTTGAATGTCTTGAATGTGGGAAAGCCTTCACCCATCAGTCAAACCTCATTGTACACCAGCGAGCACACATGGAGAAGAAGCCCTATGAGTGCAGTGAGTGTGGCAAGACCTTTGCCCAGAAGTTCGAACTCACTACCCACCAGAGAATTCACACAGGGGAGCGACCCTATGAGTGTAATGAATGTGCAAAAACATTTTTCAAGAAATCAAACCTCATCATACATCAGAAAATTCACACGGGAGAGAAACGCTATGAGTGCAGTGAATGTGGGAAATCCTTCATCCAGAACTCACAACTCATTATACATATGAGAACTCATACGGGGGAGAAGCCCTACGAGTGTACAGAATGTGGCAAAACATTCAGCCAACGGTCAACTCTTAGGCTTCACCTGCGAATCCATACGGGGGAGAAGCCATATGAGTGTTCTCTGTGGGAAGG